ATAAAACTGGGCTCTTAAAAATCAGTCTCACCAAAGTGCATTAGTGGAAAATAGTTCGACATTGATTGGCAATTCCAGCTATGTTTTTTTTCACCAGATCACGTACTAGAATACCAATATACAAAATTATTTCTAGTTACAATAAACTTTAATAAATTTATTTATTTTTATTTAATAAGTTGTCGATAGAATAGATGTCACTAAACATCAAATGATAAATTTAACTGAAAGCACATGTGTAATAAACGTGTTATGGATTGATTAGAATAATCGATCATTTTCATGTTCGAAAATTAAATCGATATGATATAATGAAAAATTTCATTTACAGAACAGTAAGAAAATAGATGAATGAGTACAGTGAACGAGAAAGTTTTATTTCAGCTACTATATCCAGTTTTTATTCTAGGTACTTTTCTATGTTCCTGCATGAAAAAAATGCACCTCCAGCCAATATAGATAAATACATAAAGTCAATAATCCTTTGACCTTTCTTAATTACCTACACGCTATTTTTCTATGCATTAGATCTCAATCATACAAAGATTATATTCTTATTTAGCACCACCTGACTTATCTTAAAAACCATAATGAAAATTAATTCTCTCATATATCTGCTATCATGAATGGTAGTTTACATGAACCAACTTTTATCATATTTGATGTAGAAAAACGAACAAAAGTTCAAGATATACGAAGAAAGAAATATTTTATTATATATAAATAAGAAACTTTTATATCCGTGATACAGATCAATCTAAATTGATTGTTCAAGTTATTAAATTCGAACCAAATCAAAATGCTAGTTTTAAGGAAACATAACATATTAATTTGGTGGAATCACTTGAACGATAATCTGATCTTATTTCAAAAAAAAAGTCGTTTATTTAAACGTTTATTAGAAGAAGAAAGTGATAATACCAAGACAACCAACTAAAGAGTGATTTTGTCGAAAATGAAGTGAAAAAACTAACAGTTTCATCTCTAATACATAAATGGAATCTAACATAATGAGTTTTGTCTTCTTCAATAAGCACTAATTCAGCAATAGCTATTGGTATATTTTGTTCAATTGATTCCCGATAGATCTGAGAAAATAATTCTAAACATAGAGAAAAAATATCGGAAAGTATCGTATATTAGTCATTAATCTGCTTCATTCTATGAGTGTTACGACAAAAAATAATTCAATAAATCCTAACTTCGGTTCATTATGTCGTATTCTTGTTGAGATCATGTACAGGGTTGTGCATAACCTTTTGCTAGGGTTTGACGCTATGATTCCAAATATAATATATATTAGTTTTCGAATATGTTTTATTGTATTATCATATATATTTGAATTATTTTGTTTTTTTTTGACCAATAAAGTTTAGCACGTATATAATAACCAGTTAACCATAACCATTCAGGACCATTATGATAATTAAAACCATGTGCACATTTATAATCATATGAATCATCATCATAATTATAATCACCAACATAATTATAATCACTTTAAATTTTAAGAATTTATTAAAATAAATTTAATTTAATTTAATTAAAATAATTTAATTTTACCTTGGATCAAGTGTTTTTATTCCATATTTACCTAAAAGTATTGTTTCAACTTGTTTTAATGCTAACCATATATGAGTTTTATTAAACATTTCAGGAGCCTATTAGAAGAAATAAAGAAATATTAATTTTATGTTTTTTTTTTGTTTAAGAAGAAAATTTACAATAACAGAAGCAATAATAAAATTGGGTCTTAATTGAAAATCAGTCCATTTAAGTGTTGAATTAATTGTATCTTTATAAATTTGTTTTCTATTAACATATTCAGATAAATTTGATTGATCAATCCAAAATTCTTTTTCAAAATTTTCATCAATACGATTTAACCAATCAGTAAAAAATAATTTTGTTTTACCAGAAGAATCTTTATAAATATTTTTATTTTTTTATTAAAAACAGAAAAAACAAAAAAAAAAAATTTTTAAGAAAAATATTTACCTGAAGATATTTTAATAGAATCATATGGAAAATAATTTTGTTTATTCATTTGAATAATCCATGAAATAGTTGTTCGACATAAAGCAACTAATTCAATAGCTGAACCATCACGTGGTGTTGCTGGATGACCTTTATTCATTGCTTTTTCACTTGAACCCATTTTATCCATCCATGTACCACAATTCCAACGATTTCCACCATAAACAAAACCAGTTTTTTGATCAATACTTATTTCAATAATAAATCCTTCATCTTTCATACATGAATCTAAATTATATCCAAATCCACGTTCTTTAAATTTTAATATTTTAATATGTTTAATAAGAACTTCATAAATAATATCATATAATGATTGATTATATATATATCATTTTTTTCTAATTGACTATAATCATTTGGATATAAACGTGAAACTTTATCATTAAGTATATTATAACCATTAGGTACTAATTTCGTATATATTGATATTGAACATAACCACCACCATACAGCATCACGACTATTATAACGAGCATTTTTTATATCTAATATTAAATTTGGTATTAAACCATGACGAATAGATGACGCATAAGATAATATTATGTAACGAGCTTCTTCATATCTACCAGTTAATAATAGAAGACCACGTAATGATATAAATGTATGACGACCCCAATTTCTCCAATTCCACATGATAAATATGGAAATCCACCAGCTAATGATGGAATTAATTGAATAATTTCCAATGTTTCTTCATCTTTTTCTTCAATTAAATCAGATTTAACAATATTTGATGATAATAATGGTAAACGTGCATTTCGAACAAAACTTATTAATTCAATACTTGTTTGTCCTAATGAACGAACAAATTTTGATGAATTATAAATAAATTGACTTAATAATTTACAACTATGTTCTATTAATAAATCATATGAACCACTTATTATTAAATCAAAATAAATTGGAATCATTAAACGTGATAATGATCTTATATATTCAAATGCATTTCCATACCATTCACCTAATTATTTTTATTTATTAGTTTTTCTTTTCTTCTTTTCTTCTTTTTATATTTATTTAAATAAATTATCTATCAATCATAAACATAGACAAACTGTTCAATCATATATACTTTTATAGACAATAATACTTTTATGAACTTTGTCGATATTTATTTTAGAAAACAAAAAAAACACGAATTATTCGATTTTTTTATTGTTCTTTTCTCAATACTACTGAAGATCAGAATCTTCACTAAGAGAATATATATATATATTAATACAAGTTTATATCTAAAAAAATAGAGTGATAAATTTGGACTGAAATATATTTTATTAACATATATATATATATTTATAAATTGTAGGTATCACAGAAATTTTAAATGAAAAGATACATCTATTTATTGTTTATTATTATATATATGAAAAATAGAAAACAATAATTTATATTTTACTGCTTTAGAATTTCGAATAAGAATATAATAAAACTCAAAAATTTATATTTGAACTAGAAAATATTTTAATATATATATATTATATATCGTCTAAAAATTTGAGCTTGATAGAAAATTCATTTCAACTAATAGACTTTTTACAAAATAAAATTTTTTTATGACAATTATTATTTTTACATATGATTTTCTCGTTAAATATTTCATTATTTAAGAACTAAGATTTAGAAGTTGAAACAACTATTTTAGTTGTATATATTGATAATAAGATAAATATAAGATATTTAGAAATTTTTTGTATTAAACTTCATGTTTATCATCAACCGATTATGTTTCAAAGTTAAAAACTTATTAAGAAACCTTTAACAAAATCATAAATCTTGCTAAAATTATCATTTTTACAGGGTTAGATTTTCGTAGAAATCGATCGTTATACGAGTCAGATTTGTGTTACTTTTCGATGAGACTCTCCAAAGAATCCTACAATAATCCAAGGTAATTCCTGGGTAAATTTTTAGTACTATATGTGTTCTTACAAGTAACAAAAATCTGACTCGTATAACGATCAATTTCTACGAAAATCTAACCCTGTAAAAATGATAATTTTAGCAAAATTTATGATTTTGTTAAAAGTTTCTTAATGAGTTTTTAACTTTGAAACATAATCGGTTGATGATAAACATGAAGTTTAATGCAAAACATATCTGAATATTTTATATTAATATTATTATCAATATATACAACTAAAATAGTTGTTTCAACTTCTAAATCTTAGTTCTTAACCATTTCTAGCCGGATGTTGCCATTTGGCAACATTTAGCCAATATTTCTAGAATGGCTTACTTAGAGTAAAGATATAAAACCTTTTAACTATTCGGTAATTACTGCAACACATTTCAGGATACACTCACGGTTTCCAATACAAAAAGGAACTTTCCGCTGATAACATAGTCGAATCTATCTACAATATCCCATAGAAGTCATTCAACCGTAGAAAACACTTTTCTGCCGATTGATTGATTCAATACTAGAAGTGATTAGCTGTAAATTCTGCTGTTTAGATCTATTGCATATTGCATTAATAAAAAGGATTGTTCAGCAAATCCGAACAATACAAATTATAGATGTTGCCATTTGGCAACACCCGGCCGTAACGGGTCAAATTAGTTGACAAATTTTTTTTCGATTTTGATTATAAAAATGCATTATTCAGTACCTCTTCGTTTATTAAAAACACTTAAACATGAAAAGAATTACTCAAACATAGATAGAGTGCCTTCATACGGCTTTTTCAAAATTTAAATTTCGTTTTTAGTAACAAAACTACAGTGCAGGAGACTTGCAGTTCTTCAAAAAGGACATAGAAAACAATAATTGGTTTGAATATGAATATGCGTGTAGATAAATGAAAGACCTACACCAACATCTGCATTTAAACCACAATGCACCTATTCTTGTTCGGTTATTACACTCTAAAGACTAGCAAACTTGAATTTTGCCACTAAAAACTAGATTTAAATTTGAAAAAAACTTGTGGAAAGCATTCTATACATGTTTGAGTAATTCTTTTCATGTTTAAGTGTTTTTAATAAACGAAGAGGTACTGAATAATGCATTTTTATAATCAAAATCGAAAAAAAATTTGTCAACTAATTTGAC